AACTACAAGTATTAACATCCTCGTTTTTGAGATAAGGAATTGGAAATGGTTGTTGGGACTGGAGCCTAGATCTTTAGATGCTGAGTCTGCTGGTCTTTCAATACATATCACAGATGCCTCTAGTGAGCACAGCGGATTCTGATGTGGAAACTCCACTGAAGGAGCGAAATGATGCCCTGCTGTTTGTTCTCCCTGGTGCAATTAATGCAACTTCATTTTATACCTTGGCTTGTTTCCCAATAGCAAAGATCATAGATGCTTAGTTGATTGTATCTGTCTTTGTAGACTCTTCTGAGAGGCTTTATCAGTGTAGTATCTGAATGCTTGATTCTTGGTACAGGAAATGCCATGTAGATTGGTGTGTGTGGTAGGAAGAAAACAGAGTTTTAAAGGAAGTACTTCCTATTCCCAGAGTATGCAGTGCCATCTGTTTTAAGCCTGAGTGCACAACTGGTTATCAGAAGACAGCAACTAATCCCAGAGAGTCAGCTGGTCACCTCTCTGATCACAGTTACTCTATTCATAAAAGGAGGAATGTGTTAGACTTCTCTGGACATGTTAGCAGCAACAGTTAATGTTTGACAGGTGTTTTGAGGTCAGAGAAAGGTGCTTGTGAGATAATCCTAAATGTTTATAATGTACAAACCTAGAGTCTGTGATCTTTTTGTTGTTGTTATTAGTAGTAGTAGTATTATTATTTTTGATAACTGCATTGCAACACAATTTGTTTCCTCTGTAGTCCTATATGCATTTAAAAACATCATTCTTAGGAGTACACCGGCTTCACCAGACTGATGCAGGGGTGTATGGTACAAAAAAAGGTTAAGAACCTTTTCCTTAGGGGGAATTTAGATATTATTTGAAAGAAGTAGTGTGTAAAATACTGGGGAAGTAGTTTCATCAATGCCTTGGAAGTCACTGTGTTGTAATTTATTCTCCATATTGAGGCAGCATGATATTTATTCAGTCATTCAACAAACAAATGATTACTATGTTTCAGGCACTTTGCTAGTTCAAAGGATGCTAGACATCATCGCATTCAATTCTCTCACTTTATAACTGAAGAAACCTTGCCTAAGATCACATAGATCAGCCAGTGTCATAGCTGGATTTGAACCCGAATCTTCTGTCTCCAAATTTAGTGCTCTTTCTCACATGCTATGCTGCCTGCCCCATTGAAACTCATTATCCTATTTATTTGATAGTTGAGAAATAAGAACCTGAATGAAAGAATGAATAAAGCATTAAACACTTACTCTGTGCCAAGCACTGTGCTAAGCTCTGAGGATAGAAATAGGAGTCAGACTGTCTCTGCTCTTCAGGAGGGAACATTCTAGCTGCAGTTCAGATGGAAATGTCTCATGATCCTTGGGGCACAGGAATGAAATATCTGGTAATGCCTCATCTTTAATGTCATTTTCACTGATAAAATAATATCAGTTTCTGATGTTGAACTATTCAACAGTGCCAAGGATTTTGGTGGAAAGAACTTTCCCTTTGCTGATTTTGTAATAGCTGTGGCTATAGCACCTGTGGGAGCAGTGGCCAGGCTGCAAGTTCACAGGACTGGTTTCCTAGGATGATGGCTAAAGGTGTTGTGCTGGAAGCATTGCTGTTCCCAAGGCTCTTGGGTTCGAGGTCCTGGACTATCTCCATTGGAAGTTGGTGGGATGATCGGCCCCTTCTTCCCAAGAGTTGCTTCCCTGGGTGATGGCTACAAGGGCTAGGCTGGAAGTAGCACCAGTGGTTTGGGTAGAGGGTGTTGTCACTCTAAAGGTTCCTATGCCTATGTGCTTATTGGTGACGGTTGGTCATCAGTTGTTGCAAGTGGTGATGAAGAAGGTGAGCTCTCTCTCCACAATTATTTCTCCCTCAGTGATGGCTTTGGGGGCTGGGCTGGAAACAGGTCCAGTGGTTTGTTCTTCCCAAAGCTCTTGGGCTCCAGGTCCTAGGCTGTCTTCCTCATGGTCCGAGGGGAGATAGTGGTCAAGGTTGCAGTGGTTTGACTTGCTTGGCACACGCTACCTCCCATCTGTCCCTCAGAGGCACTGTTCCTTTAGCTAGGCTGGCTGGCTTGCTCTGTGGGGAGCCATGTGGGGAACACATGAATAACAGTCTTCTAGGGAATGGTTAATTTCTGCCCATACATGTCACATAGCTTCACAACTATTAGGCAGAGGGGTATTGAAGGATGTATTGCAGCTGAATGTTTTCTATTGTGTGGTATTAACTGCTAATGGAAAAATAAGAGTAGTCTTAATGTTACTCAACAGAATTGCCATTATTTTCAATTTTTAATATAATTAGATTATAGTAATTTACATATACAGATACAACTTTTGACATTTTTAAATCTCATTTTCTAGTTAGGAAATCCAGAATAAAGAAATGAAACCAGTAAAGTCACATAGCTTATTCCTTGACATTTCCTGTACAAGATTTTTCTCAGTTTCCAAAAGTGATGTAGTTCTGAAAATACAGGTGGACAATATGCTTTTGGTTCCTTTAAAATTGCTCATGTCTCTAGCAATAGTCAGTAAATTCAAAATGAAAATAAAGATTATTTGAAGTAAATATTTAAAAGTCATGGTTATTGAGCCAAATTTATTAAAAAAAAAAAAAAAAGCTATTTCCCAACTGAAAAACAGTCAAAGGATATCAACAGGCAATTTTCAGAAGAATAATTCAAAGCTATCTATAGTCATATGAAAGGATGCTCTAAATCACTATTGATTAAAGAAATACAAATTAAAACAACTCTGAGGTACCACATTATACCTATCAGATTGGCTAACATGACAAAACAGGAAAATGATAACAATGCTGGAGAAGATGTGGGAAAATTGGAACACTAATGCATTGTTGATGGAGTTGTGAACTGATCCAACCATTCTGGAAAGCAATTTGGAACTATGCACAAAGGGCTATAAAACTGTGCATACCCTTTGGCCTAGCAATACCACTGCTGGGTCTGTATCCCAAAGAGATCAAAGAAAAATGAAAAGGATATTTATAGAAGCTCTTTTTGTGGTAACAAAGATTTGGAAATTGAGGGGATGCCCATCAGTTGGGAAATGACTGAACAAGTTGTCATATATGATTGTGTTGTAACACTATTGTGCTATAAGAAATAATAAGGAGGATGATTTCAGAAAAACTTGGGAAGACCTAATAAATTGATGCAAAGTGAAGTGAACAGAACCAGGAGGAGATCATTGTACACAGTAACAGTTGTAATGATGATCAGCTGTGGAAAAACTTAGCTACTCTAATCAATTCAATAATCCAAGATAATTTTAATTTCTTTTTTTTTTTTTTGGCTAGGCAGTGGGGTTAAGTGACTTGCCCAGGGTCACACAGCTAGTAAGTGTTATGTGTCTGAGGCCAGATTTGAACTCAGGTCCTCCTGACTTCAGAGCCTGTGCTCTATCCACTTCGCCACCTACCTGCCCCTATCCAAGATAATTTCAAAGGGTTCATGATAAAAAAAAAAAAATGTTATCCACCTCCAGAGAGAGAACTGACGAATTCTGGGTCAAAATTGAAGTATAATTTTTTCACTTTCTTTTTCTTTTTGCAACATGGCTAATATGGAGGTGTTTTGTATGATTGCACATGTATAATTGATATATTGCTTGCCTTCTCAATGGGTAGGAGAGGGGCTGGAGGGAAGGAAAAAATTTGAAACTCAAAAACAAACAAATACATAAAAGTCATGGTTATTCAGTCTATTATTTACATATACCCTGAACTGTAAATAGGGGAGGAAAAGTACATGGGCTGAAGTTGGAGCGTTCACTCTCTAATCAGGGAAGCCATTCTGTCTTCTGTATTGGTGTGTCTTCTATTCTCCCCAACCATACCTTGCTACTATTGCTATTAGGGGTTTTGATGAAAATATAGTGCTTGCCTCCTGGTAGAGACCAGGAAACTGGAATAAACAAATCTAGGTTTTTATTAGATTATTAAAGCATAAGCTCCTTGAGGGCAGACTGTTATTTTTCATTTTTGTATTCCTAGCCCTCAGCTCATGGCCTTACCTAGAATAAGGTTTGTTGAATCAAATGATTTGTTATCACTTTGCCCTGTATTCTATTTGTTAACATTTCTGTGTGTGTGTGTGTGTGTGTGTGTGTGTGTGTGTGAGCCCTCCACTCAAATACACCTGTAGTAGTGGGTATTTGGAAACTGGGATTAAGATTCTCATTCTTGTGGAATTGCAAAACAGTAAAAGTGTACGTGGCTAGCCAATACTGTAAACATGCAGTTATTCGCAGACTAATTTTGGTGTCACCATTGGCAAACAAGAAAAGTTTGGTAAATTTGTTAATTTGTCATCTTTGCCTGTTGTCTGAGTATTCTTGGAATGGCTTGTTCATCATCCTCAGAGTTTCTTATCCTATTGGGTTTATATTTTATTTTTCTGATTTATATCTGGATCCAGCCCTCAGGAGTAAAGACTTTGTCACATGTTAAGTTCTAACGTCATGTAGTGCAAGTTATTGTTCAGAGAATGAAAGATAGTAAATCTTCCACTTAATCTGTACTCCGGGGGCTTCTGGTTGCATGAAGGTGATTGTGGCTCCAAACCATTGCCAGCAGGGCCCAAGCTCAGGCAGGTTCTGCTAAGTTGGCAAAGATTTGGGATGACTTTGTAATGAGCTCCCTCTGTCTAAAGATGGCTAAGTGTGTCATCATCAGAGGACTGACCACCTAGCAATGACTGCTGTGGCCATAGCAATTTATGAAATGGATGGGTTATATTCTGATCTTTGGAAGCGTTCAGTATGACAGGAAATAACCATTATAATGAGAAATAGTAGCAATACACTTAAATTTTTACATACCCATTTTGTTCTTCCTATAACTGGGTACTTTGTATAGTGACAGCCTTAGCATTGACCTTAAATGTGTTTTTTAATATGTTGAGTGCCTTGTGCTTCTTATTTCAGACATTTAAAGTAGATTGTGTTACATTGACTTTTTATGTTGTTTTACAGATACATTTAGACAACAAACTAGTAAATGGCCCCAGGTCAGAATCCATGGAAAACAGTAAATGTGGTAATGGTGAAAAACAAAGGTTGAAGTTAAAGCAGAACATCCTTGAAAATGTACAGACCACTGAAGAAGACAACATGACAGGTATAGAAGTAGAGAAATGGTCAGAGAACAAGAAATCACATTTGACCATCCATGTCAAAGGAGACATCAGTGGTCCTGCAACTGAGACTGAAAACTTGAAAAACTCTGAAGACAATGAGAAAAAAAACCTTTTGAGTGACCTCATTGAGCCCCCCAAATTGTTTGCACAAACTGTTAAAAATGGCATTAAAAATGTGTACTACTCACCAGCTGAAGCTGATGTGTCATTGAAAAAAGTCAAGTTTGAAAAAACTCCAGATTTGCTTGATCATGACACAGAATGCCCCCCCATTCCCTCCTTGGGTAACACTACGAGCTCTGACGACAGAGCAGGTGCTTTGGTCCCTGGCATTTACCATGCTCACCTTAAGAGGGAAGAGAGTATTTTAGTGATACAGAAGACAGATTCTATCTGTCACTCTCCTCAAGACCCCACAGACATCTTTTTGAACAGTAATATCAGTGCCCAGGAAAATCCGTCCCGTGTAGTTACATGGGATAAAGGATTCAAGCAAGGAGAAGTTCCTGAATGCAAACCCATCAGGGAGCTAAAGCAAGATGATTCTCCAGTTCAGCCCTGTCTCCTGTCACTGATGAGAGACAGGAGGCTCACTCTAGAACAGGTCGTGGCCATAGAAGCCCTAACTCAGCTATCAGAAGCTCCCTCTGAAAACTCTTCACTGTCTAAATCGGAAAAGGATAAAGAGGCTGCTCAAGTGACAACAAACTTGCTTCACAGCTGTAAAGCGATTTTGTGTTCTGTAGGATCCCCTGCAGGAAAAGATTTCCAGGATCCAAACTTAAAAATCGATTCCCTGGTCCTACATCCCTGTCCCTCCTTGGAAAAGCAAACTCCTAGGAAGCCAGTGCTATACAATGGCCAAAATAATTCTAAATTGCACAGTAGTTTAATGACAAATCTTAGCACATCCAAGACACATGCATCTTCAAGAGTCACCAAGTCGGGATCTATAACAGAACCAAATTCAAATTCCTCCAGGAATCACAGCAACAAAGAAATTGTTCTTCAGGGGAGAATTACTGTTGGCGGGTGTGCCAAGAGTGCACATGGTTTACAAACAAGTAGCAAGTTGGCATTTTGCAGGCAATTACAGGAAAGCACTAGCAAAAAGTTTGACTCCAAAAATAATTTGTCTTATAGGAATACCCCTCACAGTCAGATAGAAGAAGATGTAGCTGCCCAGTTGACCCAACTTGCATCCATTATTGAATCCAATAATGCAAAGCTGGAGGGAAAAGAAGGTGCAAAGACATTTCCCAGTCTTGAGTGTCACAATGTACAGCAAAAATACAACCAAGAACAAAGCTCATGTCAAGAGAAACCGCCTGTCCCTGTACGGAACAATCGTGGCTCATTGTTGGCAAAGCAAAAACCATCCTCCTACAAAAGGGGGAGATCTGCATCATGGAAACAGAGACTAAAGAAAAAACCCCAAGCTAAGAGCAGTCACCAAAATGACCAGAGTGAACGGGAGCGCCTGGCATGGCAATACAGCAAGTTTCACGATCTATGGGTGGGGTCTAAACTTCGAAGATTAGGCTACGTCTCCTCCCGTGAATTTCACGCTACCATGATAGAGAGAAACCCTTTATTTACCAAAGTTCCGAAGCCACTCACTCAAAGTACTTTATCGACACAACATAAAAAACTATTTCTTCCCCTCACTCAGATAAAATTTCACAGACATTTACCTGAGTCAGCACAGGAGAAAATGAAGGAAAAACTGTTTGGTTTGGAAGAGATCACTGAACACACAAAATCGGAGGGTGTAGATCCTCTGACAGGAAGTGTGGTTCCAGCGGGTTTGCAGCAGAGTGGTGGGTCCTCTACAGATCCTCTCTCCCTGTTCCACTTATACACAAAGTCCCCTTTAAGAAGACCAAGTGGCAATGTACAGGTGTTTACAGAAAAAGGTAACAATTCTCAGGTACAGCAATCAGTGAATGTCAATCAGTCCCTTAATCAATACAGCCAGAGAGCTGGTGCTACAGCTGGTGAAGACCAAACACAGTTTCAGCAGGATGCAGAAGAGCAACCCCGGAGTCAGAGCTGGCAAATGATGCCTGCTTCCAATTGTGACCCCCCGGTGCCAGGCACCGTCGAAACTCTCAGGAACGAAAACCCAGCATGCCCAGGTGGAACAACAGTGGGGACATCCAACAGCTCAGGGGTGGTCACTTCACATAGTGTTGGCGACTCGGGGAATTCCCCAGGAAAGAACACACTGAGCTGTTTCCTGGAATCCCCAATGACCTTCCTAGACACCCCTACCAAAAATCTGATTGATACCCCCACAAAAAAAGGGCCATCTGAACTGCCAAGCTGTAGCTGTGTTGGTAAGTGCCTTTTCATTAGGCCTTTTCTCATACGGGTTTTAGAGTAAAATGACAGAATTGAATGATGCTTAACGTTTATATGTTTAGTGTTTTGCCCTATAAAAAGTCAGTCTTTTTATAACCAGTGGCTCATTTGTAGATCTGATGGGTCTTCAGTAGAATTCTCTATGAAAATGTCAGAGTTGGATCTTTTTTCTGTTATATATACATACACATATAAAAACTTTGATATATGTGTATGTATACGCACAATATAGGTATGTCATTAATTTATATTAGTATGTATGCATATGTGTGTGTGTATATATATAAATATATAGCCAGTATATGTGTGTATAAATATATAGTGAGTATATGTATATGTGTATATATACACATACGCACATATACACACATACATATACATACACTTTGAGGGGTATTCAAAACCATTAGGACTGTTAACTTGATGTCAAGTAAGCCTCTGCCAAAGTCGGAATTAGGTCTGCTATTTTTTGCCTGTCTCAAAGCCAACTTCTTAACAGCTAAATAAGCTTCAAAAGGCTACAGAAGCATGTAATATGTTTAATCATTTTTTTGTTGGAAAGATATGGTATAATGGGAATAATACTATACTTGGAGTTAGGAGAGACCTGGGTTCAAATTCTGACTTTGTTTGACAGATACTATCTGTGTGATCCTGGGCAAATCAGTAAAACTCCCTGAGCCTCGGTTACTTTGTCCTACAGGGCTCTGATGAGGGAAGTGTTTTGTAAACCTTAATGTACTATAGAAATATGTGTGGGCATTGTTGTTTTTGTTCAGTTTGCCAAAAAGAGAGGCTAGCTTTACATTTTGAATGGTCTTTGATATGTCATTGGTGGATCAGCCAGGTATAAATAGGCATTCTTATCTTCACAGGGGCTCATTTCCTCCCTACTTTTTCTAGGGTTTCGGGGAATATGAAATGTAACTTGGGTTGAACATTTTAATATAACTTTGAATAAAATATTAGCCACATTATGATCCCTATGTTGTAACAAGTTGAAATATTTAATCAACTTTGAATTTCCAGATGTAGCAATGAGACTAAATTTTGCTGAAGCAAAACTCAGTTTTGTGTTTCTTCTTTAACTTCAAAAAGCAAAACACATCAGGGTTTGTCTCTGCTCTGAAATCTGTTTGGTCATTCTTGATGACCGAGTGATTGTTACCTTCTGTGTCTGAAGACTATTAGGATTGGGGGGTAGAGCATTAAGAGACCAACACAGATCTAGATGATCTATAATTTTGGGATGAAGAGCCCTGAGACATCCTGCTGTGGGGGGGGGGGGGGGGGGGGTGGGGAGAGGGAATGGATCTCTCTGATAAAAGCATTTGAAAATGTAAAATGAGTCATGAGTGATGTGAGTGACTAAATTTATTCATTGCCTCTAATCTGGACTCCTATAAGTAAGTGCTATTTAATGTCAAAGATCATTGGATAGAGAACTGGCTTTAGAACTAAAGGTCTAAGTCAGCCCCCTAATTTTACATCTGTGGAAACTGAGGCCCAGGGAGGGAAAGTAATATGTCCAAGGTTTCTGTAAGTGGTACACTTAAACTGAGACCTAATGCTCTGTAACATAATGCTTTATGTTACAACATGGTTTATCAATCCTGAGAACAACCTACAAAAGTATAGAACAGAACTGCTTTTCCTTTTGTTAGCCAAGAAGGCAATACCTGAGAGACTACTCCATCATAGTAGTAGCATAGAATTTGGTAAACACAAAGATGTATGTCCAATGGTGTTCAGTTACTACAAGTACCAGAAGGACCTCATTATCACAAAGAAATCTCATCTATATATAACATGGTCCCATGGCACAGTCCCCAGGGTCTTATCTGTCATAATACAACTGATATAGTTTGCACTGGTAGAAAATTAGAAAAAGAGCCCTCTTCCCCCCCCCCCCAAAAGTTAAAAGTCTTATTGTGAGTAAGCATTTGCAAAATACTTTAAATTGGATTAGTGATTTATTTGGCACAGTTATTCTGTGAGGTAGGCTAGTGGTGTTTTCATTTTATAGGAGTGGCATCACAGAGTTGTGGAAAGAATGCTGGATGTAAAATTGGGATAATGGGGCTTATTTCCTAGCCTCATGCCTCTCTCTGTCTGTCTCTCTCTCTCTGTCTGTCTCTCTCTGTCTCTGTTTCTGTCTCTGTCTCTCTGTCTCTGTCTCTTTCTGTCTCTCTCTCCTCTCTTTCTCTTCCTCTCTCTCTGTCTCTCTCCAGGCAAGTTACTTTTACCTCATTTTCTTCATCTCTAAAATGGGTGTAAAATACTGCACCTGTTAAGAAATTTGTGTGAAAAGTACCTGGCAAGCCTTGATTATAAGTCATTATTATTCATATTGATAAGGAGCCTCCATTAGAGTCCTCCTCTGATGCCTCATTTTGGCATGGAGATAGCTCTGGGTTCTCTCGTTGGCTATGCCAGCTAAGCACCTACCCTGACAAGTTCTACCAAGCTGGAAAGGCTGTAAGCATAAAGTTGGTGTTAGATTTGTACATTTCTGTTATGTGAGGACTTTCTTCACTAAGATCAGAGAGTCTCATGATCAGAAGATTAACTTCCAAGTCATGATATTTTTGGCCATAGCACTTGGTGAAACAGACCTGAGCTGTGAGAGAGCTTTGATGTGTGTCTGGGGAGGGATCCTCCACCTAAAACAAGCTCCAGGAGGTAGCCCAGCTCATCTGGAGTAGCAGTAAGTCATCAGTAGAGGTTAAGACTAGATGTCTACATCCTCAGGGGAGAAATGCTAACCTGTGAAGAAGAGCTACGAGGCTTGGGTGGGCAGTTGGGGACATGGTTTGAACTGCCGTGTCGTTGAGGGTGTGTGACTCTTTCAGTGGATCCCAAGTACAGTGGCAGAGAGGAGATGGTGATGGCCATGCATTTCATCTGAGTCACAGAGTTATGGCTGGAAAGACCATAGCGTGGAGGAGCGAGCTCAAACTCCTTATTTTACATGTAGAATGATAGCTAGCATTTGCATAGCATTTAAGGTTTGCAGAATTCTTTGTGAGTGTTATCTCATTTGATCCTTACAGCAGCCCTTAGGAGGTAGATGCTACTATTATCCTCATTTTACAGATGAGGAAACTGAGGCAGAGTTAGTTAAATGTCTTGCCCAGGAGTGTTTCTTTCTGACTTTAGGTCCAGTGCTCTGTCCACTCTGCCATTTATGTGTAAGTAAACTATTTCCCATTGAGTTGAAATGACTTGATGAATGTCACAGATTTCTGCTTCAAATTTTATGGGATCTGCTTTCTTTCTTTGAAATACTTCAGAACTTTCAAGTGAGACCAAGTAAAGTAATTATTCGGAATTTCTGTAATGGTAGAAGAGACCCAGGAAATATGGAAATATGTGCACAGAAACACAAATTGTTGTCAATTCTTGAATTATCCTCAGAAAAGAGAAGAACTTTGAAATTCTAGCCTTCTACCATTTGATATGTTTCAGTGCCACTCAGGCTGCTTGTTTTGCCAGCTTGTGTGTGCTAAGGTAGTGAAATCTCACTTTAATTTATTAGTCTGAGCTAAACATAATTACAAAGATGAATCTACTGCAAACATTTTAATTCTGCATCAGCCATCTAGAACTCAGCTCTCTGGCTACCTCATCTATTTTTTTTTTTTTGGCTAGACAATGGGGTTAAGTGACTTGCCTAGGGTCACACAGCTAGTAAGTGTCTGAGGGCAGATTTGAACTCAGGTCCTCCTGAGTCCAGGGCCAGTGCTCTATCCACTGCACCACCTAGCTGCCCCTACCTTATCTATTTAGAACAGAATTGAAAGAGAGGAAGAAAGTAAGAAAGACCTTTAAGCAGTCACATTACATATCTCAAAATCCATGTTTTAGAACTGATGACTTGTACTTCATTATTAAGTCCCTCATGCTTACACAGGGCCTGTTGACTCACATATGACAAACAGGCCTGACAAGCTTGGCTATGCTGTCTCCAAACTTGTAACAGTTTAGAAACTTGAAATAAGAGAAGGGTGCTATTAGAGACAGCTGCAGTAACAGCAATAAGAAGTAACAGCCATGATTGTGATGAGAGAGGGATCAAGGGGAAAAAAATCTCTCAAAAAAAGCATATAACACCAAAACCAAAGCAGTCTGGGATGACTTTATGTGGAGGTGATCTCAACGAGCCTGGAATGCTTTGTTGTACTTCCTTAATTGATGACATCAGGTCGCTCAGCTGAAGGGCCTGAGAGATCCTCATTTTAGAAATGAGTAAACTGTATCTGAGAGAATTAGAGTGACTTGTGCATCATCACACAGCAAACAACAAAGGGGGGGCCACAAGAATGACCCTGGGCAATCAAAAACACATTGAGGTATGTTCCGTATTCTCTGCTCAAGACACAGATGTGTGGAATGCATCTCCATCACTGGCCAGAAGAAAAATAGCTTGGGTTCTTGTGGGCCAAGTCAGCAATCATCCATGAAGCTGACCTCGTGGACAGCCTGTTCCCTAAGCCTTCTGGTGGCCAAGGGTTTCGTTGATAATGCTTTCCAGGGGCGTAAGAGAAAGGATTTTGGATCATTCATCGTTTCTTCTGCTTGTATCACTTGCTTCCTTCCGTTTCTGTAGTTAATTCAGAATTGACTAATGAAGGTAGCATTTAGGTAGAATTTAAAAGTTGCTATATTTGTAAGTTTATGGAATCAAGAGGACAGTAAAAACTGAATGAATTAAAAAGCATACATGATGGCTTCTCCTTTTGCGTCCTAGAAGAAATGGGGCTTGATGAGGAATAGGATACTGAGAGGGTAGACTAGGAAGGCTCCTGTCCTCCCCATCTCATCTTGCTGCCTCTTTCATTGATCTTGGTACTTTAAGGTTCCTTGATCTCTTTGGTGTGGACACACCCTCCATCAGGGTAGAAGGCTTGGGATTTTCACCCTAGGTAGATCTTAGCCAACCTGATGAACAGCATCTCTGCACTCAGTAGATGAGGTATGTCTTTGGACTGCAGACACGCACATGGTCACTAGGCATATATTTAAAGACCTTCTAAAGCTTGCACTCTATTGGCATTGCCTTCAAGAACCCAGAGTCACTTTCATATCACAAAGAAGTGTGAGAACAGGAGCTTGGTAGTAACTTAGGCAGACTCCTGCAAGATCTCAGAAGTCACCAAAGCTTTATCAAGAAACCTGTTTCAACATCTATAAAGAATTTTGTTGCAATATTTTGATTACATTCTTTAATGTTTGCCCTCCTCAAAAAAAGAAAACCCAAATTTAGTAAACATAGCTTCCCCAGTTGCATCTGTTAAGAACAATTCTGTTAATCTTTGAGTTTAATATTATTATTCCTTCCACAGAACAAATTATAGAAAAAGATGAAGGGCCATACTATACACATCTTGGAACAGGACCAAGTGTGGCTGCTGTCAGGGAAATCATGGAGGCCAGGTGAGGAAAAAAAAAATCAATTCCTTGTATGTAAAAACAAAAACAAAAAGCCTTAATTTTGAGTCTGCTGACATTAGAGTCACATATTACACTCCAATGTGACCTTGTGGTTCAGAGGTGAACCTGGGTTCTTGAAAGCATTGTCCACTGAGCACCAAGGTCTGGATGGTCTTCCCCAGGTGGGAAGTGCTTCAGATACAAGTCAGGTGACAGGCCACCTTTGCTAAGTTTGGTGAGCCCATCACCAGAAGGTTGGTTGATCAAGTTTATTCAACTTCAGAACTAATAAAGAACTATTAAAACGTGGAGGGGTCATAATCTGCAATAGTAGAGCAGGTGTCCACACCAGGGAAATCTTAGATCTTTGGACTATGGGTCTGATTCAATGCAGATAAATGTTTTCTGAGAGTAACTGTTCAGCCAGATCAGGTGAATGATTGTCAATATGTGCTAATTAGGGCACAAGAAAGGGATGCTTGTCAAGGGATGTCCCCCTGGTGTTCCTACAGAATTGCTTATTCTCCCTGGAGAATTGTAGGTCTTGTTCATTCTTTCTAAACATAGACAGCTAATTCTCTTTGTTATATGGGATGGTACTTTATATGGAGGAAAAGGTAGAATACTGGAAGAAAACTAGGCAGTGTAAAAGACATCATTAAAAATTTAATTTGAAAAAACACAGCCACCTAATAAAAGAATCACCAAGTGAAATCGATTGGCCTTCTCTGACTTTATTTCAGTCTCATGTTACTTGCTTTGAATCCCAATGCTTTAGGTACATCCCTTTTACTTTCACCGGAGCTGTGGCATCACTAAAAATGTGATAAAGATTAAACATATAAAGGAAGAATAAAAATGAGACCCACAACGAATAGAATATTTGCTTTGCCAACCTAAAATTCCACTAGCTCCAGGGTAGAAGGTTGTGGGACAAGAGGGAGGCTGTTGTGCCAACTTCATCATACCACAAATAAGTTTGCAAACAAAAATATTTGCATCTTTGCAAATTGCTCAGAATATCAGTGTTGAAAGGAAACTCAGAAGCATGTGGTAAAACTGCCTGGAGCAGAAAGCCCTCTCCAGTCTACCCCAGAGAAGGTGACCCAGCTTCCTTTTGAAGGCCTCCTTTGAGGGCAAACCCTCAGCCTCCTGAGTCAGCCCATTGCACCTTTGCATGGCTCTAGTCATTAGAATGTTTTCCCTTTCCTCAGACCCAAATTTTCTCCTTTGCCATTTTTGCCCCATATTCCTTATTCTCCCCTGTAGGGTTAAACAGAATAAATCTCTTCATTCTTCCTGACAGCTCTTCAAATATGTAAAGACAGCTATCATGTCTCCCCTAAGTCTTTTCTTTTCTACTCTAATGCCCCTCGGGATGATCCATGTGTGACATGAACTCAAGACTCTTCAGCATTCTGATCTCTCTCCTCTTGACAGTTATCAGCCTCTAAGTATCCTTCCTAAAATGTGGTGCCCAGAACTGAGCTTAGTATTTGTAGACGTGGCCTGACTGAGCTGGGCAGTATATCATGGTATCATCACTTTTCTCACCCAGGACACTCTGCCTCTCTTAAACTAAGCCGCAATTGCATTAATTTTCTTGGCTGCTATATTGCATTGTTGACTCAATGAGCTTCCAATGAGCCATTAGAATCCCCAGATCTTTTACAGATGACTTATTGTCTAGTCATGCCTACTCTATCTCATACCTGTGAGGTTGATTTTTAACCAAAGTGTAGAACTTTGTTACACTCCAATCTCCATTAAATCCTATCTTAGTGTGTTTGGCTCAATGTTCTAGCCCAGGGGTTCTTCACTTTTTTTGTGTCTTGGACCCTTTGGGCAGTCTGTTTGCCTCCTTTCAGAATGATGTTTTTTTTTAAATACATAAAATAATTGAGATTACAAAAGAAATGAATTCTACTGGAAAACAATTATCAAAACTTTTTTTTTAAGTTCACAGGGGCAGCTAGGTGGCACAGTACATAGAGCCCTGGAGTCAGGAGGACCTGAGTTCAAATCCGACCTCAGACACATAACACTAGCTGTGTGACCCTGGGCAAGTCACTTAACCCCATTGCTTAGCCCCCCCCAAAAAAAGTTCGCAGACTTCAGGGTAAAAGCCTATCAAGATATTTTTGAGCCCCTGATTCTGTCATCCACCATGTTCCCTGTTCTTACTGGCCTTATGTTAGCAGATTTGATAAGCATGCTATCTTAACTAGTATCATGCCAAGCACTAATCCCTAGAATGCACTAGTAGACACTTCCTTTCAAGTTGAGGTCTAACTGTTGAGGATTTCTTTCTGGGTCTGACCATTTGACCAGTTCTGAATCTCTCTAATTGTATTATCTATTTTATATCTTTTCATGTGTTCCACAAGAATAGCACGTCAGATGTTTTGCTAAAACTATGTAAAATATATCTAGACCATGGCTTCTTAACTTTGGGGTTCATAGACCTCCAAAAGACCTAGGGATAGATTTCAGGGGGTCTGTGAACTTTTCAATGGAGGAAAAATTATGTCTTCGTATTTACTAACTTCTGGCTGAAATTTATCATTTCCTTTAATTCTTTAAAAAATATTCTGTGAAGGCGTCCATAAGCTTCACTAAACTGACTCTGCAGAAGTCCAGGACACACAAAAACAGATTAAGAACACCTGCTTTAGAGCAGGGCTTCTTAAACTGTGGGTCACAACCTTGTACGGCACCAGCAAAAGGTTCCTGAATGTGCAATGACCAAAAATTAATTAAAAATTAAATGTGCAACGAATCCAAGGTGTTACTGGCAGTGCTTGCCAGTGTTGCATCCCACAACTTCACTGCAGCCTGGGTTCTGAACACAAAGCATGCAGACTTTGCACTGTGCATGCCCTCGGGCCACACAACACCAACTAACACTGCCAAAAAAGGGTCTTGGGTGGAAAAAGTTGAAGGAACTCTAGAGCATTTCATGTCTAGTAAACCTATCAAATAAGGAGATAAGATTCATTTGGTGTAACCATTTCTTGATCGAGCAATGCCATTAGCCTTGTGATCACCTCTTCATTCTCTGCTTGTTCAGTTGGGTATTTCTTTAATGTTTTCTAGAATTTTACTCAATTTCCCAGTTTTGCTTTATCCTCAAAATGTACTTTTTTGTTATTTAACCCAAACTAAGATTTGGTAACTGGGACCTTGTCCCAAGACTCTGAAATTTAGAAGGGGCTCAGACAGCACTCTTGAGTCCTTCATCAATATAGAAACAACTGAGCTTAGCACCTGGTTAACTCCTTAAAATACCAAAGCATCCCTTGGCAGCTTCTTTCTCTCCTTCTGTCCTTCCATTCCCCTCCCTGTCACAGCACCCTGGGTGAGTTCTTCCCTCGCTCATGACAGCGTCAAGAGCCCTCATGGACTCTCCTTCTCCCCCTCTGTCTCTGTCTCTCTCTTCCTTCCTTCCCTCCTCCCTTTCTCTCTCTCCCTCCTTCCCTTTCTTTCCCTCTCTCATTCCTCTCTCTTTCTGCCTTTTTCTGCCTCTCTTTCTTTTTCCCCCACTCCACTTCAAACTAAACTGGGGACACATTTGGTCCTCTTTGCTCTGGACATGTTTTGCGCTGTTTGCCCCGAGTGCACAAGTCATTAAGTTATAATTCTGATTAAACTTGACTCATTCAGTTGAGCTTTGAATTTCAGAGAGTACTGCATCAGGTTTCTTCTCCAATTTTTTTTAATATTCAGATATGGTGAAAAAGGAAGAGCAATTAGGATTGAAGTCGTCGTATATACAGGCAAAGAAGGAAAAAGCTCTCAGGGGTGTCCAATTGCCAAGTGGGTAAGTAGTTGGTATTTCTACACTTTGGTGGGAGGGAAGGATGGGAGGATAGATTGGTATGGCCTTGGCCTTGAAGTTTCCTCGAAATGGTACTTGGACTTGCAGCTAAGTATTTCTGACTATTAGAACGCTAGTCAGTGAGATGAAATGGAAGGGGCTCTGGGAGGCAGGAGATGACGGCTCGTGTCTAGCTATGCAACTGGGGCCAAATGATTTTGCTTCCCTGAGCCTCCATTTCCTTATCTATAAAATGGATACACTGGGCTGTTGTGAGGAAGGTTACTTGTTGGTCATGACTTGAGGAAATCTCTTTTCATTTCCTCTTGTGGTTGTAGTACTTTGATTAGAGTCAGTGTATCTTTTCAAGAAGAGAAAGCAGCCAGGCCAGGGGTGTTGTATAAGTCTCCTGAAATCAAAGTGTCCATCAAAACAGAACGGAGTTGTTGTTAGAGGAGGCCTGGCTAGCAGAGGGGTTCTTTCCTTGAGGCTGGGGGGGCCCACTGGCTTGAAATGCCTCAAGTGTTTTCTCATTGTGTTAGCCATGGCTTGAGGGTAACAGAGTCTACAGGTGAAAAGTAATAAGCACCTGAAAAGAATATTGTATAGGGAGCTAATTTGTGCAGTTGTGGGTCTATAGATGTGGCTGTGAACTCTGGAAGTCTGAGGATTGGGTGTAACACTTTGACAAGGACAAATTGATTCCTGGTGAGGGAAATAGTAATCTAGTGGATATCAAGAGACCCAGCTTTGCCATGGAACAACCTTCTAAAAATCATTCAGAGGTAGCCAGTGGCTTAGTGGGTATAGCACTGGGCCTGGAGTTGGAAAGATCTGAGTTCAAGTCCAGCCTCAGACACTTCCTAGCTGTGTGACCCTGGGTGAGTAAATAACCTCTTATTGCCTAACAAAACAGATCTACTGGATCCGTTGGAAAAGGAAGTAGCAAAGCACTCTATTCTCCACCAAGAAAACCCCAATTGGGTCGTGAAGGGTCTGTTATGACTGAAACAACAACAACAAGTCATTTAACTTCTTAGTTTACTCCTCTGCAAAATGAGGGACTTGAGTTTAAATGCCTCCTAAGGTGACAATTCTAAAGCTAGTATTATGTGATTTTATGGTTTTGATAAAAATGTTGAGCACTTATATATGAGATCAAGGCAGAACCTCAAGGTGCCCTGGATGCTCTCTTCTGAGAGCTTTTAACCCCCATGATTTTACATCTACACTGTGTACATATATGGCTTTATTACACGCAGAGTATTCCCATCAATTTGTTTCATTTTCAATTTCCTAGATTTGTTAAATTTTAATGGTTAGTTTGATGGCATTAGGGTAGATAATATGGGAACCTCTAAGGACTATAGAGAGAATAGGAAGTGACAGTCTTCATTCTTCATGCCTAATCTGGGAAGGTTTCCTAAATGAGAAAATTTTTTTAGAATTAATTTTTATGGCTGTTATTTTTTTGTTTTACGTCACTTAAAATTTCCCCTGAATTCCTTTCCCTTCCCTCTCTCAGAAAGCCATACTATTTTACAAAGGTTAGTTTTTATTATTTTATTTTTATTTTTTTGCTTTTTGGTAAGGCAATTGGGGTTAAGTGACTTGCCCAGGGTCTCACAGCTAGTAAGTGTCAAGTGTCTGAGGCCGGATTTGAACTCATGTCCTCCTGACTCCAAGGCCAGAGCTCTATCCACTGTGCCACCTAGCTGCCCCAAACGTTAGTTTTTAAAAAGAAAAAAAGGAATATTCTGAAAGTATACGTGATGTTCTACAACTGCGGACCTCCCACCTCTGCAAAAAGGCGTGAGACAGCTGTCTCCAGAAGATGCTTGCAACAGACTTGGTAGACAATAGATGAGAGGTTGTACTAGGCATGTGTGACAACATGTAAGACTACTGAGAATGGAATGATCACAGGGATTTAGGAACACGTTTTCTTGAAATGATGCCATCAATGTTCATAAAGTAGCTTATGTCTGTCACCCTGCTTAAAAAGTCCTTTCAAATGTATTATTCTTTTGGTACTCCAGAAGGTTCTGTGAGGTAGAGATAGGCAGGCATGTCTACTCGACGCAGATGGGCAAGCAGCCTCAGAGGATAAGAAACTTGCCTGTGGTCGCATAGTTTGTGCATGGGACAGGCAAGACTGGAATCCAAGTCTTTTGACCCCCAGTCTAGTCCTTTCTCTCCATATCATACAGCCTTTCCTGAGTGTGCTCTTAATCTATCAATACTTTCTGGACCTATAGGCAGGGTCAGTTGGGAATTTATTGGGCAGAAGGCTCGTAGTAATGAAAGCAGAAGGTGCTTTCATAGATAGAGCCTGCATGCAAGGGAACAAAGACCAGACAATGGAATCTTTCTGGTGCCCAATGACAGGGAGAGCTGGTGGAGGACCTTAGAAGAAGATGTAACTAAAACTTCTGCTAATGAGCTTAATTTTTGTTTCAGAATTTTGGACTGACTGAAATGGAGATGGCAAGGTGAATGGTGAAATTATAAACTAGTAGAATCTTCTTGCATAAACTTTAGCAAACGGGAGAAATTTTTAAAAAAAATACTCTTTGACTCAATAATTTCATTGCTTAGCGTATGCCCTGGAAATATTATTGAAACAAACAAGAAAGAGCTATTAAGAGATTATTATAGAAATATCATTTGTTATTGCAGAAAATTGGAATCAACCTAAATATCCAGTGAGGGGAATGGTTAAATAAGTTGTGGTATGTTAATATAATGGAGTACAATAATGCTATTAAGATACACAAGGCATGAGGTAAATATTTTAAAAGCATGGAAAGAACTTGGTAAGATAATACAAAATTAAAAAAACAAAAAGAACCAAAAGAGGAGAGTGAATGCTAATAACGACTACAAAATAGGAAAAAAATGGACAAGCATGAAAGGACAAAGTATCCAGATGCTTTGAGAGGTATTAACTAAAAAGTGTTTATTTTATGTATTGAAATTCATTCATTACTTAAATATACTTAGTTAACTTAGTAACAGTAACAATAACAACTATAGCTAAGTTACTTAGTTATACAAAGTGTAACTGGTTATAGGACTGGGATCTGGATCTGTGATTTCATTGGATAAAGGCAACTCCTCAGGAAGGAAACTACCCAGGCAGGCCAGCACCTTCTATGAACTGCCTAGAGCACTGAGAGGTTAAGTAACTTGCCCAGGGTCACACAGCTCGCACTCATCAGAGACAGGTCTTGACCCCTAGATCTTCCTTGTTTCTAGTCCTAGCCGTTATGCCATGCTGTCTCTTCATAAATGATTGTGTTGATGTTCAATATTTATATATAATCATTTTTAAGGAGAAAGAACTGGAAGTATGGATATTAATAAAGAGACAGAAGTAATAGTGGCTTACTCTTAAGTCAGTAACATTTACTAAACACTTAGCACGTGTTAGGCATTATACTAAGTGCTGAGGATACAAAGACAGGTATAACTAAGGCATTGCTAATAAAAGAGAGAACATTCCACAATGGGAGATAATATGGAACAAAGATGATATATACAAAGAAGATGGTGAGCCTGGCTCATTTTTATAGGGTCTTTGTGTTGGAAAGAGTATTGAATGCATTTAGTCCAGACTTTTGCAGTGCAGGAATTCTTCCTCCCACATTTCTCACAGATGGTCATCTAGCTTCTGCTGCTGGAACACTTCCAGTGATGGGGCCCTTACATCCCTTCCATTGGTGAACAGTCCTACTCTTTCATGTGTCATTATGTTCAGCTTGAAATCTGTGTCACTGGAACTCTCAGCCAGTGGTTGCATCTGTGCCTTCTAAAACGACACATAATAAATCTATTCTCTCCCACAAGCCAGCTTTCAAATATTTTGAAAACATTCATAAAAATCCATTCTCCTAAACCTTCTTTTTTTTCTGAAGCTTTGGTCCAGAATCCTGGAGAGCATGCTGAGGAGTTTGGTCCAAGGATTCCAACCAGGCCAACTGTTAAATTTGAATAAAAGGGGTATCTACACTTCATCTTTGTACTGGGAGGGATTTGTTTTGGCCATTTTACAATGGAAGTTACCTATAAGCATTTCCTGCTTCATTGGCAAATATCAACTGAGGATCTTTGAAGAAAAGAATAACCTGGCTCCCCTCCCTCTATGTTCCATTCCTTTCACTTGATATTTTACTACCCTGCTCCCCTAATCCATCTCTGCCCAGCTACCTTTGGGTTGTGTTGTGAATTATGGGATTTGGCGTATATAATTTCACACATAATCTCCTGGCATAAGTTTAGAACAGGTCTGTGGTCTTTGTTCAGGCTAAAATTAATAACTGATCTAAAAGCAATCTGATGCTGCTGCAATCAGCATGTAATCAGGTTTGCATGCCAAGATCTGAAGGGCATTTTTCTTAGAAATGCTGTGAATTATAGAGGGATTTAGGCTAAATTAGAAGACTATGTCCATGTATCTTTTTTCTTTTTTTTTTAAATAATAGTTTATTTTTTTCCAATTACATGTAGAAATAGTTTTTAACATTCATTAAAAAAATTTTTTTTGAGTTCCAAATGTTCTCCCTCCTTCCCTAATGTCCCCCCTCCCTGAGATGTTAAGCAATTTGATATAGGCTATACATGTTCAGTCACGCAAAACATACTTCAATATTAGTTATGTTGTGAAAGAAGACACAGACAAAAAAAAAACCCCATAAAAATAAAGAAAATGAAAAGTAAAATGCTTTGATCTGCATTCAGACTCTATCAGTTCTTTCTCTGGAGGTGGATAACATTTTTCATCATAAGTCCTTTGGAATTGTTTTCAATCATTGTGTTGCAGAGAATAACTCAGTCATTCCCAGTTGATCATTGTATAATATTGCTGTTGCTGTGTACAACGTTCTCCTTGTTCTGCTCATTTCACTTTGCATCAGTTCGTGTATGTCTTCCCAGGTTTTTTCGGAAATCATCCTGCTTGTCATTTCTTATAGCATAATAGTATTCCATCACAATCATATGCC